CTATCTATCTATCTGCCTATCTATCTATCTATCTATCTATGTGCCTATCTATCTATGTATTTATCCACCCATACCTACAAATGTCTCTAAATAAAATATATGCAACAATTTCAAATTGTATTTTATCCTACATTTTAAGACTTTTTATTCTGTCTGTAGAAGATTTTCCTCCACTGAGGATAAGATGATAATCTAGGAGTAATAGAAGGGCACTGCTGAGTGATACTTCTAATGCTGCAGACAACACACAAGAGGCAGATAATTCCTTTACCTTCACTCTGAAGGATGCTCAACAACTATCACAGCGTAGAGCCTTGATTCAACAGGACTGAAGGAAAGGTTTTAGTCAGCAGAGCAGAAAAAAGCATTTCCTATGGATTCCAATTCAGTGTTAGCCTGATCAGGTATTATGTTAATTAGTTGGTGATGAAACCATCATCTAATTTGTAAGGTTGTGAGCCAGTGTCCTACAACACCGAAGTTTATTTCATCATATCCTTGTTAAATTACCATTTTTAATGAATCTGTCACACAGCCTCAAAGCTAATCTGCTGCTGCTGCGTGGGCCTAAATGGAACAACCATCACAACACCCCCCAATCCTCCTTGCTTTAATAATACAGATGGACTCAGTAACATATCCAGGTTGGAGGCATTAAGATAATAAATCTTAAATGTGTCTCAGCATTTCAAATTTGTAAGGCTCCATATCAAACACCAGTGGCTTTAGAAATCATTTCTAAAGAAATCAATTCATTTCCATAACTATATTAAATGGTAAAAGTATCTTATAAGGGGCTTTTAAAAACATATTCAAGCAATTTATTTTACCAACTTCTAAAATCTATGTTTCTCTAAAGTCTGTCCAGACCACGTCAACACTATCTCCTATTTCCTGTTAGGAATCCCTGCAGCAGCAGCACATGATGGGAGTCACGTCCCAAACAGCCACTGGCACAGGAACCCCTGCCTCTCTGGCCACACCTCCAACTACAGTTCATCCTGTTCGTCAGTCATCAATGGCTGCCGCAGCACACCTGAAATCCCAGAGGTCCATTAACACCCCTGCTACTGCGACGCCCCCAAAAGTTCGCCCTCAGAGCAGAAACCTCCTCCTTAACTCCTCTGACGCCAGTTTCAGTGTCAGTCAGCCAAAACAACGTCAAACTCAACAGCAACATCAGCAGCATCAGCAGCATCAGCAGCAGCTACAGCAGCAGCAACAACAACAGCAGCAGCAGCAGCATCATCAGCAGCTACAACAACAACTACAACAACAACAACAACAACAAGCACACCAGCAGCAGCAGCAGCAAGACACACAACTGTCAGTGACAGACAGTCCAGCTCCTGGGCTTCCGTACCAGACCAGCTCTGCCAAAGAGAACCAAGCTCCATCAGCTGCTGCAGAGGAGTCCACAGACACCCCAACAAAGAGCACCAAGAAAGCTCAGGCCCAGCTGCAGCCTCCACAGCAGCATCTGCTCAAACCAGTTAGCAACAAGCAGGTGAGCCCAAACCTTCTATTTAAAGACAGGTTTGCTTTTTACTGCATCGGCTCACATGACATAACATGAGAGGAAATACCCATTACTTCAGGGACACTCACTTCCATTTCAAGGACATAAACAAAAGTAGGAGTTCATGTAATGACTTACATCACTTGTCCTTCTCAGGGTTCTCAGTCCAACTTGACCACGACGGCCCTCAACGAAAGGACGGTGGCCTGGGTGTCAAACATGCCACACCTCTCTGCAGACATCGAGAGCCTGCGGCCGGACCGTGAGGGTCAGCTGAAGGAGTACTCCAAGAGCATGGATGAGTCACGATTAGAGAGGGTTAGCACTTCCACTGCTTTTCCTGTAACAGTATGTCAGAAAGGCAACACTGAGAGGATGTATTTCTGTGACTTCAATAGCTATAAATATTTGGAGCTACAGTGGAGACATAATGAGGCATTGATTAAACTGTTCATTGTTCTGAAAACGTGCTTCTTGCTTCTCTGAAAATCTGTATTTTATCATTAAATACACACCCACATGCTGGAAAGAAACATTTTGGTTTAAGTTCTTTTTTTGTTTAACTGCATTATTGTTTCATAATACAAGTTGTGACTATGTTGCTTTTGCGAGTATAATAGCACTGAGGTTCCAGTGACCTGTGTGACTGTACACTTTTGATGTCACAACACAGCCTAATTATGGCAAACCCTAGCAAACTAGATTTTTGCTTTAAAATTTTAAAATTACTTTCTGTCCCACTTCATCTTTAGCCTAGTTAATGAGATAATAAAAATGTCCAACAATTCTGAACAGTTGGGGTAGAATTACCTCGAATTATAGAAAATTGCAGGATGGATCAACTAGCCAAATTAGGCTAGCTGAAAATGACTTTCTGCCACTTTAAAACGTTAAATCAAATTAGTTTGCTGTGCATAAAAACCTGTGATTTATATTGTTAAAATGACAATGTTTTCAAATCTGCCTTCGAATTAGAAAATCATCTTAGAAATCATTAAAACCTTTAACTAATTCTATCCTAAAACATGTGGCGCTTTGGCCTAGAGGCAATGTCTCTGTCTTTGGTGTGGAACCTCAGGGTTCACCTCCTGCGCAAGTTCGAATCCCGGTTAGGGTGGTTAATACTTTTCAGTGGACTCACCACCCGCAGGAAGGTTTGGGGGGTTGGTACGGTGCTATGTGATTTGGGTGGCGACTGCGGCCCCCGCGACCCGGTAATGGATAAGCGGATGAAGATGGATGGATCCTAAAACATGAAGACTCAGATTCATCCGCTTATCCGTTACCAGGTCGCGGGGTCGCCACCCAAATCACATTGCACCGTACCAACCCCCCAAACCTTCCTGCGGGTGGTGAGTCCACTGGAAGGTATTAACTGCCCTAACCGGGATTCGATCTTGCCCAGGAGGTGAACCCGGGGGTTCCACACCAATGACAGAGACATTGCCTCTGGGCCAAAGCACCACTAAGACTCAGATCTACTTGCCTATTTCAAATGTGCCATAATGAAATGCAATCATTTGCAGGCACAGATCTATCATAATGTATACTGTTTAAAGAGAAGCAGATATGAATTAGATAGTGGTGCATGTAGTCTATGGCCGATGACTCCTACACTCCTGCATGTATTCATGTATATATCGTGTTTCAGCTAGTTGACACACAACTTCAAAGTGAAACAGAACTCACCTTGCTCTCCACGTCTTTCAGGTGAAGGAATACGAAGAGGAGATCCATTCACTGAAAGAGCGGCTGAAGATGTCGCACAGAAAGCTGGAGGAGTACGAGCAGAGACTTATGTCCCAGGAGCAGCAGACCAGCAAGATCCTGCAGCAGTACCAGAACCGGCTGGAGGACAGCGAGCGACGCCTGAAACAGCAACAGGTGGAAAAGGACTCACAAATCAAAGGCATCATCAACAGGTGATTAGTCCTGTGGCTGGACTGGTCTGGGCAAGTACAAGAACCCACAGAACTGTTTTATATACAAGTGTAAGACTGTTAAATGGGAGTTTGCTTTGGAAACTGTTTGTATGCATGTATTTGTGCTAAGTATAATAAATTACACAAACCAGGAAGACAAAGAAAAACATGACTGGTTTTTAATCACAGCTCCACATTTAGAGCTCATGGAGCTGACACAAGGTCATAGGGTTCAATTAAAGTTTGTAAGTTTTTTCTTGATTGATGAATAAACAAATAGTCAATAATAAATACAGTTTTGTCCAAATTCAGCTAAGACGGCTTTTCACTTCACTTTCATGCACAAAACAAGGTTTCACAAGCTGACAGCTGCAACCTCTGAGCTGAACTCTTTGAAGCCAGCTGAAGTTCAGCTTCAGGATGCTCTGAGGATATATGAGTGCAAGCAGCACCACACCACACCAAACCCTTAATATCATCATATGGCCTTCATAATCTTACAGTCAATTATAAAGACCAAACCGGCTTCACCATTCTATTTTATCAACCGGTATGTTTCTCTCTATTTTCCCTGTTGTCAGACTCATGGCTGTGGAAGATGAGCTGAGAGGGGGTGCCATTCCTGATATTAAGCCTCGAATCCTCACAGACCAGGTTTGTGCCTGTGTCTACATCTTTTATCATCTCTATCCGCCAAAACAGTCATGTCCTAAAAGAGTTTGCATCATTCTTACATCATATCCAGAGCATCATCCAAAGTCAGTGCGGAGGAAACGCTTGCAGTTTCCGTGCACTCCGACTTCTCCCATCCTTTCAAACCATGTCTATGTCCTATACGACGTGTTCTATTTAAAGAGGCAGAACACAATACTGATCAGCATTCATCAGCAATACTACATCTTCAGCTATAGGTACTCCGTAAGAGCATTGAACCCAAAGGTTATAATTACACCAGAGCTATCATCCATCATTTTGGAGACATCATCAGTGAGTCATAGACAACATCACAGCACTTCCTCAGGGCTCAGCCTTGTAAATGCACAGTGTGGGCTGGATTCCGTAAGAGGGTGTGTGTGTGTGTGTGAGTGTGTGTGATGTTTAAAGCTAAATGACAGAAGAAACAACATGTGCTGTCCTTGAAAATTCACTCTAACCTTCTTTGCAGCACATCACCAAAGTCAGAACGACTTAACGACCGTCAAAGCATCAAAACCAAATAAAGAAGCAAATACAATTTCCAGAGAAGCTGGTGCACTTCTTTAAAAACCCAATTATAAGTAAAGTCTCTAATTTGGTAATCCACTTTGAACTTTTCTGTGGCCATCAGTGCCTTCAATGACTAAAGTTACTCTGTTTATTAATCATAAACTAAATTGGATTTTCATCCTGCCACACACTCTTTAAATGGTTACAACTGCAGCTTTACATTGTCTTTTCTTTTCATTCTTCACGAAAAGAGAAAAGCAGCAGTTTCAGTTTTCAACTGACATTTCTGCCCATTCTTGATGTATAAAAATGTTGAACTGCCAACAGTCAGTGGCACAGAGTACATTTATGAAACCAGATGATATTCCTAATTTGTCCCACACTTTTACAGAGATCTGCAGTCTGTAGAGAGCAGGCAGGATGAATTTGTATACTGACAATAGAGAAGTCAAAAGACATTTACATTTTCCAATAAAGGAGCACTTGCTTTTTGTAAGCCAGTTCCTCAGTTCATTACTTCTACCACATAGAAAGATGTACATATAGCACCTGTGAATCTAAAGTAAAAGTAGACTTACCTTGGCTGACTGAAGCTTTGCACAACAACTGAAATTTGAGGTCGGGGCTCTTTTTTGCACGCTGGGATATTATTAGCCTGGAAGAGCGACTTCCCTGGAGTCTCTGCTGGATTCCCTGCCAAAAAAAATAACAATAAAATGGTGAAATACCATCAGACTCAGTCAGGCTCGTGGTTCTGATTCTTTGTGCTCAGCTATTAGCACACAGGCTTCTTATGCCCCAGAAATAAGAGCAGTTTAACATCCTCCTACTAGCTCTCACTGACAAACACAAATTAAATCCAAAAATGTCTGAACATCAGACCTGCACTGCATAGAGCTGTTTATGGAGATAAATAACAACTTGATGTGTTTTCTCTCTCTACAGTCTATCAACCAGGGCTACGGTGGCCACCCCGGATCCTGACTGTGGATTCGACAGTGAGCAGAGTTAATGATGGCCGTTTGAACAAAGAGAACTGATTCACCCCCAAGAAAAGGCAACAGTTGATCAAGCAGGACCACCGGAGGCTTCATCCCACAATTTTGTTTATATTAAAACAAACAAAAAAACCAAACAAACAAGAAAATAAAATTGCACATATTCAAACTTTGCCTGTACCAGAACATGACAATCAGTTTTGAGTGCGTACCAGTGTGTGTAGATAAGCTCTGCACACGTGGACAGAGATAGAAGCCAATGCCACAACAACGGCAATATCTAACGAACCTAATTAAATCCAAAAAGGTGAGAATACATGTGAGGATATTACAGTTTTATTTCACCCTACGACACAGAGCACAGTCGCTTCTCGCTCCAGAAGCTACATATAGAATGTACAGTAGAAGCGGCTTTAAACAAGCACAATGTTCCCTCCTACAGTGAGGCCTGTGGCAGCGACACAGTTTTTAAACTGTACATTACTGTTACGTTTAGAACAAACCTGTAACTGCTAAGACATTTTTACTGAAAGAGGTGGTAGTGGTATATTTAAGGTCTCACATTTATTTAAATGATTTCCTCAGATGCCATCTCACTCTACACATCGCTCTACACTGCCCGGTCAAAAAAGGTCACATGCTTGTTTTTTGTTAGTCTGCATTTGCCCGAGATAAGAATTTTTCCAAAATCCAAATTTATGCTCTCTGAGTGGCTACATGATAAATATACAATTTATCCGCGTATTGCCATTCACTTACATTGATACAGTGGTTAGGATAGAAACATTCTGCACGAAATGTTCTGTAAATTAGACAAACATCAACTAATCAGACAATCAAAAGACATGTTCCATTACTCCTTGAGTCCAATCCTCACTTCTCTCTAACAAATTACTGTAATGTCTTAGTAGCCTCATTGCTAATTGATTTTTCTTTCTCTTCCTCTTCAGGAAGTCAAGTTCTTCCTGACTTCTGCTGTTGATTTAGTTTGACTTGAATATTTAAATTGAGTAAGATAATAATTACAATTCTTTTTATTTACCTTGGACAGTTCTTACTCTAACCAATCTGCTGTACGATGGAAATCAATTCAAGTAAATTAAAAGACTGAGAAGTGAAAATAAATATGCTTCTCTACACAGATAAGTAAGCTGACACGGTTATCTAGAGAGAATTGAACTTAAACATGTCATCACTGGTATCAGGTACTTTTTTGACTAGGCAGTGTGCAGAAAAAAAAACAACCTACAAAGCCATTTTTCTGAAAGTTCTTACAACAATTTTACTCTTGCACAATCACTTTTTTACTAAATCCTCCAAACAAAGTTCCTTAAACAGTGAACTACAAAAGCCTCTGAACTAATCATGTAAACAGGGTGTAATTAAATCAAAGTATGAAGAAGTTAAGTTCAGGCCGACTGGACTGTCTTGGTTTCCTAAAGACAAACTGAAGAACTGAGAAGCCTCTGGGATGGGGGGTGAAACATGTTCAGAGAACCAAGACAGAACCAAGCCTCCACTCAACTACTTCAGATAAAAGTGACCTAGATGGCTGAAAACCTACACAGACATGTTGCTACACACTTTGATCAAAACCTTGATGCTTTTTTCAGCATTTGTTTTTATCTTCATTTTACAACGCTCTGCGGGAATGGTTTTTCAAAGTGTTGGTAAATAAATACATTTTAAATATTTATGCCTTTAAACACAACGCGCAACTGGAAACACATGGTAATATGTCAAAGTAGTGAGTTACTCATCTGTTTTTTTTTTCTGAAGCATCAGTGTGCAACAGCTTTGCATGTGCTTTTAAAATCTGAGGACAAGTCAAGTCAGATCTTCTAATGTAAAAAAAAAATTACTTTTGACACGACTTTCTAGTGAGAAACCACACTTTTCTAAAAAGTCCAACTCGCTGACTCTTCCACAAGAGGGCGACATTAAGCCTTTTGCATTTTAACAACATGGAATTGAAGAAGAGGGTGACGGTGAAGACACAACAACACGATGTAGTGTATGTGCATAGGATTTGACTGCCTTACAGTCTGTGCCACTGAGGCCCAAAATAATAATGCCGTTAAAAAGATAACAACAAACAAAAAAAACAACAACCTTGTAAACATTGTACATTAAATGTTCTTTTTTGTAGTCAGGTGATGAATTAATAAGCAGTGTGTTGGTTAACTCTAGTCAGATTCATTTATATAATGGATTTCATGGTTGATATAAGTTAACTTAAGTTATCTTAACTTCCTGCCTTTAAAACATTTTAGACATTTTTCTGTTCAGATACATACAGATAAATTAAAAACTATACGTTTATGTTACCAGATATGTAAATATGCTCAATGTATACCTATTCTTATATGTACAATGTACTCAAATCAAGGGTAGGCCTATTGGCATGTTGAACATGTGGTAAAAATCTAATTCTTAATACAATATATAAATATATATATTAAATATATCTTAATGCTGCAATCCAGAAACTACAGTGCCAAGACGTGAGTACGTTCATGGGATGGGAGCAGAATAACATGCCTCACCTCTGTTTCAGATGATGAAACAGCATTCTGAATTCTTTAAACATATTTACCCAAGCCCACAGTGGTGCTTTGATTCAATACTGGATTGCAGTTTTAAGTCATTTCTATCTTTATTTTTGTTTTCCTCAGATGTGTGTTTTATTTATCGGGCCTGCATTGCAATACAGCTAATGAAATGTTATAATGCACTTATAATTTCATTTATTTCCGAGAAGCTGCAATCCACAAACTAAGAAAAAAGGTGTTTTTAAAATTCTTTAAAAAGTGGTGAAGTATGTTCTGCTCATATTATAGTACTGAAACTTGTCTGTATTAGCTGCAGTGGTACAGTGTGCTACCTCTGAAATCACGCCCTCATCTCACTTCTGCTGTATCTAAGGATCCTTATGCTTTATACCACAAACAGAGAATGATTTATTCAACATGAAAAAAACAATAAACCTCTATATAAATTAAAGTGCAAACCCTGGTTTCAAAAATAAAACTGTAGAAATACAAGAAAAGTGCTTCATTGGATTAACATTCAACTCTGTATAAACAGGAGGTTTAAGGGAGAAGTTTTTTTTGTCCTTTTGACCTTTATAGTTCCGTATAAACAGGAGGTTTAAGGGAGAAGTAGTTTTTTTTTGTCCATTTGACCTTTATAGTTCATATCCACTAAAAACTGGTTCCTGATCCTTTTTACAGCGCTCACCTGGTTGATACAACTACTGTTGTTGCCCCTCCGTCCATGTTAACACATTTAGAGTCACTGCTTCAAAACTCAACTTTTATAAATAGACTATAGATTGTATTAAAGAATGGGAACCATTGCTTCAATAGAACAAATTCTTCAAATCATTATTTCATTTAATTCATTTGGAATTCTGTACTGTAACAGACCATTGTAAAAGCTGAGTTTATATTCTGAGTCTCTTGTTTCAGATCTTCTTCGCCCACTAGGACCCTGACACGATTAAAATCATAATTTTTTACAGAGGTCTGTAACCCTGTAACTCTGTACATGTTGATTTACAAACATGCACCTCAATCCATACAGAGATGCATCACAATCACTAAAGCACTTTTGTTCTACTTGCACAGTTTCATTTTTGGAACCACATGGTTATGTATAACTCTTATGTATGTTTCTCATCAATTTGGTACTACAACAAGTGGAGGACACAAATATATTATTGACACATATCAAGATGAAAAATAAATTTTGGCTGTTTGTTCATTGCTATTATTATTTCTTTTTTAAAATGTTCCTTTAAGAAACGTTTGTTATCATGGGACATGGTGTAACATATGTCCTGATCACAACTGGATTCAAGTGCCGTTACCATTCATTTTAAAAGCTTTTAAAATACGGGATACAGGATAGTGCTCCAGTTATTCGCCATACTCTCAGGTGTTTGACAGAACAAAACCTTTTTTTAATATCTGCACAAAATCTTAACAAGCGAGGGAGTATTAAAGCACTTAAAAAGTACAAAGGAATGTGGAGTTTGTGCCCAAAGAAAGCTACGATATTATTTCCTTTTGAGTAACTATTAAACTTATTATCATTTGTTGCTTGGCACCAATTGAACTAAATGTCAAATACCCCACTGTAGTTAAACATTTAATTTAAAAAATGTTTAATGTTTACAGAAGCATGAGAGTGTAATGGATGTCCAAGAATATATTGACACGAGGGAGAGAAAGACCTGCCGCTTTGCTGCAGCTAAAGCAGGACCTAATAAATGACATATGATATCCTGTATATTTTTAAACAGATTATAAACAACACTGTATTTATGTTTACTCAATGGATGTATAGCATTTAAGAAAATTAATTTGAAAAAAAAAAAGTTGGTTTCTTGGCAGCTATTATTCTGCACAAATGATCTACTGTATGGGGACTACACATAGATGGTGGGGGTTCTGACTTGAATTAGGCCTACTGGATGTAATACCTTACTTGACATTTGTTTTGAACTAAGCCATGCCCCCTGGATAAGCCATAGCCTCCTAGTTCCCTGATGTTGTATGGTGGACGTTAAACGTTGGTTGTTTTCTTTTCTATTGTACTTATGGTAGGTATGATTGCGCTTGTAATCATTATTATTATTATAATTATTATTGTACTTGATTGATATGATTTGTTTCGTTTGAACAAAGGGAATGTAATCATTTTTCAGGTGATTTTTTTCCGAGTGATTTCAATAAATTAATAAATCCCTAATTAAAGACTCTTTTTCCTTTTACTTACCTGCTAGACACATGCTGTATTGTTAGTGTTGAACTACAGGGATACTAGAGTGTTGTTTTTAATGTGGCTCAGTTTTTTTTTTCTTGTACTGCAGTTTTCCAGTTTTGTTGGGAACAACACCCCAAGAACACTTGGTTTACTTGTGATGCTGTACTCCAATAAAACCACAGTATTAGAAAAAAAAACACCCTTAAGGGAATAAAGTATTAAACAAATATTAGTCACTAGGAGGGGCACTTAAGCCCACAGCTGATGGAACATCAACACCATCTTGTGGCGAAAAAAGAGAACTACAAATTTCTACAAATGACAAGAACAACATAAATAATGTTGTAATCATTTCGACAGTTCAGACTTTTCTCTTTTTAACATTTGTTTTACATCATATAACTACTGTAATCACAATCCTGACCTACAGTATAGCAGTAATACATGTTACAGAGTGTGAAGAATTATGTACACAGATTTACATAATAAAACAGATTTATACATTTACTTAATTATAACAAATAACATGAAAAAAAACAGTTAAATTAAAACACTTTCTTCTGCTTCCCAGTAAATAAACTGTCACATAAACAGAACAAATCTTACAGTAAGTCTTGTTTCTATCTAAATAATAATAATTTTAACTGTATTGATTCCACACATGGGAAAGGCTGCCCCTTGAAGGCGCCGCGTATGTGGTTCCTCTGGGAATCAAACCCAGGGCTCTGCTTCTGAGGCAGGCGTGCTAACTGCTACATTATGCCTGGTGATAAAAGTCCTCTGTACATTGTTGACCTCCTACTTAAATAAACTACCCTGAGGTCAATCAGACACTGAACCAAAGGAAAACACAACACAGGCTAACAGCTGGTTGTGGTGAAAAGCAGTTACAGAGCATTGGGTAACTGGATCGGCGAGTGTTTGAATGATGTACATACTGTAATGGGCATCGGAACATACCTCCATTACATTATGTAAAAAATGGAAATCACAAGAACTCACTGAAGCATAGAGTAGATGTTGGAAAAGCAGACAGTGAAAATGTCAAAGTCATAGATGTTTTTCTGCCAAGTCTAAAGCCACCACTGTATGTGCTGAATAAGTAATGAATTGACATCAAGTATCTCAGAGTGAGAACTTATTATCAATCATTATGAGATTGTCTTCTGCAGTGCATGTTAAAGCATGTTGAAGACCAAAACCTCAGCTGAGATTTTTTTTACAGTAGTGTGGAGTAAAGACTTTGATTGAGATTTCATTTACAAGTTGGACACTGCAGTGGGCAGTGCTGTCAGTGGTTCAAATTTTTTGGTGTCAGATGGAGTTGTCTGACTGTACATGTTGTTGAGAGGAACAGCCATTTGCCCAGACTGTGCTGACCCTCCCCTGGTGTGGAAATAATAGGGCATCTTGGATGTAATGGCCAGACTCAACTTGACCAACACATTATGAAGAGCCAAGCGATATTCTTTTCTAATCAGGCAGTAAATGACAGGGTTAAAGCAGCTGCTGGTGAAGGCTAAACAGTTGGCCAGAGGGAAAAAGTAAGTCTGGGCTGAATAGAAGGAGGGGCTGATTTCAACAATGTCCAGGTGAATCAGGACACCCCAGAGTGTGAGAACATTGCAGGGAAACCAGCAGATGCAGAATGAAAGAACGACTACTGCCACAGATTTGGAAACATCAGCTTTTCGCCTAGAATTGCTGCCTTTCAGCTTGTGGCGACATAGGAAGCGCAACAACAGCAAGTAGGAGATGATTATGATGGTGTAGGGCAACAGGAACCCCAGCACCATGCGCAGAAGCTGGTTTATACCAAGCCAGGCTGTACCGTCTGGGAATCGGAGCAGGCAGGCTGTGTCATTACCGATGCCCACCAGGCCTAGCTCTGCAAAGACAGCACGTGGAGTGGCTGCTACGAGAGCTCCGGCCCAGATGAATACAGTGACCACGGGCGAAGTGCAAGACATGCTGCACAGAGAGGCGCTGGGTTTGAGAGCGGTCGCCACATAGCAGTAGCGTGTCAAACTCATAGCAGTTAGAAAGAAGCAGCTCGCAAAGACGTTCAGCCCCGTGAGCAAGGAAACAGCCTTGCACGTGGCCAGGCTGAATGGCCAGCTGTAGTCCAGTGCAATCTCCACAGCCCAAAATGGTAGGGCCAGGGAGAAGAGCAGGTGGGCCAGAGCCAGGTTGAACACAAAGAAATTGATGGTGCCTGTGGTGATGGTGCGAGTTGAATAAAGAAGGAACATCACTAACAGGTTACTCAACACGCCTGCTGTAGCCACAATGAAGTAGACCACAGAGATAAGCACCCGCAGCCAGGGAGATCCGTCATCCAGGATCTCGCTCACCAGCCACCCTGTGCTGGTGTTGTGGAAAAGATGGGAGTGATTACAGGATCCACTGCAGCTGCTCAAGATGCTGCTAAACAACTCAAGTCTCTTAAAGTCAATTGTTGACATTTTTTTTTCTACCAGTCTGTTGAAGAAATTAGTTTAAATACGAGTCTTTCTTCTTCTCCTTCTTGTGTCAGTGAAGCACAAAAAAAACCCTCTGGATGTCTGTTAAGGAGCTGACGGTCATCTATCCCTGAAAGGAGGAGGAGGAAATTATTATTATATAATAGCTGCTACATCTTATGAGAAAATAAGTGGATTAGTCATGACAGATAAACAAATTAGGCTTAAGTGTTACCCACAGAGTTAGATAATCAAATTTGAATTCTGAAACAAATACAAAATTAGTGGATAAATGTAAATCTGCATGTTCAAAGAGGCAGCATTTTGAATTCTACAATGTTTAATGTAAGATTATATAAATATTTTTCTTTTTCAAAATATTTTTGGCTGGTCTAATAGTTAAAGATTTACTGATTTAGAATGAGTTTTCATTTATAAGTGTAAATATACTATCTAATTTTTAGGTGTTTATCTTTATCCTTTTGCTACTTTTAGATTTACATTACATTCTTTTTATATATAGTTTGACCAATTTTGGGCTTTTCTTTAGTGGTTTTTCTTGGTCTTATTGTATGGTTGGTTTTACCTATAAGTCAACAACTTTTTTTTATCAGTTTGAACTAACGTTCGTGTTCCTCTGGCTTAACACCTCATGTAAATATAGTTGGACAACTTTGCTCTATTTCTGGCTGAATTCTTTTTTTCTTATTTCAATTTAATGTGTCAAACATTAATTTCATTTAATATTTTATCACTTTCTTTTTACTTACACTTGTAAGTAAAAAGTTCAGTGGGAATCACTGTTTTAAAATTAACAGATTCTTGCTCGCTTCATGTTTTTTGATGATAAAATACATGAAAAACCAAAATACACAACATTTTGGAGAATTGTGCCAAAAACGGGATGTCTTAGATTTACTTCAGGTATTTTTTTTTTTAGATACTCGTGGTCTAATCATAACTACAGCAAAACATATACACATTAGCAAAGATGTCCATTTCTGTATTGCACATAATGTGACTAATCTGTGCCTGACAAAATGACTACATTTACTGAACACATTTTCACAAATTAATAAATACATATTTATACGTAGAAACAACATTTACCTGAATGTGTGGTGAAAACGGAAAGGCAATTCTTCGTTCCATAAATCGCTCTTCTTCTGGCCTCCAGCTGCGCTTCACGAGACAAATTACCTTTAAGGCGGCGGTGATAACGACGTGAATATGTAGAAGACACCCGCCCTGTTTCCATGCTCCACCCTGTCCTAATATCTCCGTATATTTGGATTAGACATTGTCTTTGCCAGCTCATTAGTTTGAAATGACTCATGAAGTTAATTAAATGTACGTACGAAATAAAACTCCACATAAAAAAGGGAAATACTGGCGAAAAGTTATATTTGAAGTTTGGACATTTAATATTTAATGGAAAATGTCTTTATTCTACCCTTGTTACTAATGTTTTAATGAGAGAATTTGAGTCATGCTACAAATGAGAGAATTTTACTTTTCATTAAAAACAGTTTTCAATGTTAAAAAAAAAACTTTTCCTCCAGTATTGTTGGTTTTTACCCACTGTTCTATCATTGCTTCAGCCCCTAAAAGTAACAATGCTTTTAGGGGCTGAAGCACTATCTTGTCTCTGCTATGCAAATTAGCAGTTTTGTTCTTTATATTGATCTTGAAATATGTCCATTTCTTCAAAAACGTCTAAGTAACAGGTCAGCACCTGAACCTGCTTTCACCAAAACCTGACACGTGAGAGTAGGTTCTAATAGTTAAAAAGTCTTAGGGTTTGAAATAAATAACTTAAAGTGCAGGAAGAGCATTTGGTATTTTTACTTTTTTAAATACGGCACTTGATCCAGTTTGTGTTTACTTATTCTCTGTGGTTGCATCTCCTAACGCTTAAACACCAACTTCAGAAAGTACATGGTCCAAGTGTCCACAGTGATTGACTGAAGAGTTTTTTAACACACTGCTCCTACAGTAACTTCACCATAACATTACAGTCTAGGAACAACAATGACAAAACTTTTAAAGAAAACAAAAGCACTGCAAGGGCAGTTTTTCTGTTTACATCTGTTGTGTAGCTGAGCACCATTCTCTTCATTATAAATCACTGATAGTGGAAAGATCATCAACAGCCAATGACTAAATTAAATAAGCCTGGGATCAGCGGAAGCGCGGAGAGCATGATTAATGACACCCTGTCAGAATCGAGCCATCTACACAGACTAACTGGAGAAAATATTGTGCTGCCGGAGGATTTACATCTTCACCATCTCTCTCACTCACACAAATGCCACACACCTGCAACGTTTTCAGTAATAAAACCAAAAATGCTCTTAAATAATCAATACAGTAAATACAAAGGTTGTGGACTTGCACACAAACACAATATTTCTTCAATCCCAAACTATTGGATAGTATATTAAAACACATTTAGCAGCTCATATATTAGCACTTAATGATATAGCAGGATAATTAAGNTATATATACTGTATATATGATGAGTGCAGAAAGGTACAGATTGCCTGCTGGAATATCACTAGGATGACTACGGTTTTGTCGCCACCCTCTGTCTGACTGGGAAAGCTACATTTTTGCTGGTTGAGATGGGTAGCTCGAATGGGCTTCAGGCATATTCTGTCAAACTGAGCCCTCTACCGATGAATAATGTCCACAACAACAATAGACGTCATTACAGGGTTGCGATACTATCCATGTGCAGTAAAATACTGTGACAATAAAGCCTTGCAAACGTATACTTAGCCAAAGAAATAGAAATATACAGTTAAAGATATAGGGGATGGGACTAGCCAGCTCAAAAACGTTGTAAAATTAGCAAAAAATTGGCATTACAAAAGTGTTCCCAAGAAAATGGTGGTACTTACAGCGAGAAGATCACTGTTATGACATCTGAGGTCCACAGGTATGACGTGTAGAGACCTTTATCCATGGACTTTCTCCAATATTTCCTGAGTGTGTGTCAGGTGGGTTTCTTCAGACACACTGCTTTTCTCTCACTGTCCAAAAACACACAGGCAAGAGATATGGTGACGTGAATTAAAAAACGTGCCACAATAATGATAAGAACAAACAGTTTAAAAATAAACACACAGGCAAGAGATATGGTGACGCGAATTAAAAAACGTGCCACAATAATAAGAACAAACAGTTTAAAAAATATATAATATTTTGAAAAGCTGGGAGGACATTTTATTATCTTCAGTTATTTATGAGGTATTTACATGTAATAAAACTGCCCTGAACCCGCTTTAAAGTCCCCATCCACATGTTTCACTTGATAAATAAAGTGTGCTAACGTTAAATTATTGACTTTTTCTGAACCTGTCTTGTTTTCGTCATCTTCAAATTGTTGCCCCTTAAGTTAGCTAGTCAACTTTTCTTAAGTAAGCCTTTTGGATAAGTTTTACACTTGGTCGTTAAATGCGTGACGCACTTGTATGCTAGCAAGTGTCTGGGCTAACTTAACAATGTTTTGAATATTGTTTAAAAGTGCCGCGCTAACCTTTTAAATGTAGGGGGCGAAAACATTGTTAGAAACAGGTAAATTCCTACTTTATTTTGTCCTTTATTGTTTCTTTTCATCTGCAACAGGGGCGTTGTTTGTTTCGTTCGCGCCTGTCCATATTAATTGCTACAACTGTTCACCTGCGGCAAAACGCCTAACGTTACATTAACGTGAGGTAAAATTTCCCATCATTCTTCGCGTGTGTACACAGGGTCACTACGAGCTCGCGCAGGTCACTGTAGTAGGGGGGACAAAGTCGCGCGCGTTGGTTATTAACGTTATTATCGTTATCTCTCGCGTCACTTCTGCCCAAAGACAACAACGGCTGCTGCTGCTGTCTGTGGAGCAGGGCGGGGGGAGGAGGAGGGGGAGAAGGGGGAGGAGGCACAGCAGGAGGAGGACAGGGCTGCGGTTCAGGTGCTCCGCTGTGATTGAAGACTTTTACACCACGAATAAAGAAACAAACGAGTAAAAAAGAAAAAAAACACTGGCACGACTATGAACCCGCGGCACAGAATTACCGCTCTGACTTATGGACAAGTGTTGATCTGTTGAACCGCCATTGTTTTATCGCTGATGGGATTCCTCCAGGAGAGACCTGCCGCCTCATCATAATAAAAAGCCCCGCTGAGGTAAGTGAAGACAAGTGACGCTGAAGTAACAAAAGACACTGAGTCACATGACTGTTTTTACATTGCTGTGTTGAGTATTTGTCTTTGTTTTTATCTCGATCTTGTACAGACGGTATTTTGGAGAGTTACTGCGAGCGAAAGTTAACTACAACGTCCCGTCAGTTATTGTAGATGTCAGTTAGATAGTGATCCGCGGCCAATTGGTGTGTGTCTCTGTGTGTGTCCTATTCCTCTGTGGCACCCCAACTATCTCCATTGTCCGAAAGAGGCAATTACAATGATCTAAAATGTGGTTTGGCACAGCTGTGGACACTGTCACACACGGAATAGTTGTGTTGAAGTGAGTGCAAACGGGACAGACAACAAGGCTGCCATTGTAGCGGATCAACGGCGGATTAACGGAATTCCTTTTTCTCTGCACCGTCTGAATGGTCTCCAGTCTCCCTATCTTTATCTGTCCTCTCCCTGTGGATAGAACATATCTATCTATATTTGACAAAAATATTCAGTACTTTAAAAAACAGTTAACTACAGTGATCTACCCTCACTGACAGTCATAGGCAGAAATCAACTGTGAGCTCTGGGGAAACATGTGGATGTGACAGGGCTGGACAGCAGGTTAATGCTGTCAGAAGCAGTGGCTTAAAAATGGAGACAAGTCAACAAAAGGATCCGTATAACAATCTAATTTAAAAGACATAATATGCAAGTCTTTCTAAGTACACTACAATAGAATCAAATAAAATGCACGTTCCCATTTATTTTCAATGGGTCACAGGATGTATATGATGCTGTTGTCACCACTGTTATGCTAATGTTATACTAATGTTTTTCAAGTACTCTAAACATTTGCAATTGGAAATATTTACCAGAGGAAAACACTAAACAGATCCAGTAGGAGACAGTTCTGTACAAATACAGCTGCCTTTAAGGGAGACTTTAGATTTTAGTAAGTAATTCATCTAGAAATAAAAAGCATTTTGCACCATACAATGTAGATGAAGTCTCCAAATTAATGGTTTATAATAACATTTATGTACAGTGGTGCACAGCCTTACAGAACAGGAACTTTTATTTATTCAGAGTATTAATCAAGTATTATCAAGTATTAAATAGGCAGTCACACCAGTTCCAAGTGAAATCACATGATCCCTGTGTATGCTGTGACCTACACCAGTTCCAAGTGAAATCACATGATGTGTATGCTGTGACCTCAAGTTGATGGTTTCATTTTTTTTTTCTTTACCAAGAATTGAACATAATTAGGTTAAAAAGCAGTTGTCCTGGTCAAGACAGAGTGGAGTATGTTGTGGGGTTTAAAGGATAACACTAAAAGTCACACTCAGCTGTTTTCTGAATCAATGCCCAGACTGACTACAATCATTAAAAAGTGGTGTTTGCATATAATTGGGTTAGTGCAAGTAAACAAAGGAGCTCCATTCCCTGCAGGGGTGCTGTGAATACAGTTTGCATGCTTTTAAATTAAGTCAACTACTCGGTCAATTTACTCCAGCCAACTCCTGTAACTCTTTCAAAACTTTTGTACACACAAGTGTAACGTTTAGATTTGGATAATAGGGATTGCTCAGTGGACATGAGAACTGTGCTTGAGGACAGATATGTCTGAAATATTGTTCGAGACATTTCTTAAACACATTTTTAAAATATATGTTAAGAAATCTTATATATCTTACTGTGGTCTTAAATTATATACTGTGAAAAATTATATCTAAAATGTTATTACTGATTAATAACCACTGTGCCCTTCCTCCCACCCTTCACTTCTTGATGGGTTTTGATGACTTTGTGCTATACCCTCACCTACATGTTCTATAAAATTCCAACCCAGAAATGATGCAACAACTTTCAAAAGAAAAAGAAGACAACAAAACAAACAGCAGCAACAATGACGATAAACATTGTTATTTGTAGTGCCTTTTCTTAAAATTAAATCTAACTAAGACATCAGACAATCACAACATCACAGGGAGCTCGCTTTACTAATGTTTCAGTGACACTCAAAACCAAGAAAGCAGAGAAAGTTCTAAAATTAAATGAATGTCTAACCGCTGGTTTTCTTTGTTGACATTCTGAAGTGCTGCAAAAAATCCTAACATGATTAGCCACAAGTAAAGAATGTTTGGCATGCCTCCACCATAACTGACTTAAATGATTAATCTCATTTTTGTAAGAGAAACATTCTTAGCTCAAGGTTAGCAACTATTATTACATGGAGAATCCACTGTGCCTCAAATTTAGGCCATAAACAAGAAATGAACAACAAAGAAAGCCTGCATTATTAATATCATTTCTGCCCATCGAGTGATGATTGTTATGTAGACTGTACAAAATGTAATTCCATCCTACACACGTCTGAGACAACAACGTAGTTACACTGGTCATTTTTAGGTTTCTATAGCACTTGCAGACAACATTTTTCCATTCCTTCCTCCTCCACCCTCCCACTTCTCCCTCGGTCCATGCACTTGCACATTGTGCACTACTTGTACCATACCCATCTCTCCATCCCCCAATTTGTGGTCAGCCAACATGTGGGGAGGTAATCCCAGCTATTAGGGTAATCTCCTCAGCATGGCGATCAATAGGGGAGGGTGTGTGTGGTGACGACCAGACACAGTGGCAGAGGGACAAAATTTGTGCTAAAGAAAATGATTTAATCGTGCAGTAGACTAGGTCAGGAGACCGGGGCCTGGACAGGGGGTGCTTGATGCTAGAAAGGAGGGGGAGGGCACAGACAGAGCAGACAGGAAGATGTGAGGGTCATCTTCACTCTAGACTGAGCTATTGTGTGACTGCAGGCTGAAGAATTTTGTTTTTACCTAATCTGGACCAGATTATTACATCCGGGGCCAAAACTTAAATGCTCACTGCCAACACGGCCATTTTAGGACTAAATTAAACTTGCATCAAAAGTGTAGTCATTTTTTTTCTTAAAATATGCTTTAAAAATATCATGGACAACTATGTAAAATCAGATCAATACTAAAATGTAATCTTAATTCATATGCTTTAAAAATATCATGGACAACTCTGTAAAATCAGATCAATATCAAAAAGGTTCATTTGCAATGCTTAATTTTTTTTGCTCTTAATTTTTACTAAAATGTAATCTTAATTTATAAATATGTTTACTATTAAAACAACAACTTAAAATGAAACTTTGATTTAATAAAGTTCTACAACATTGGTTATGTACAGTAATTTAACTTACAGTACAGTAACTTTAAAAGCCACTATTAAAAATTAACCCCGTTGTTGCTGTTGATGTTGTCCTACATACAGCCTTTAATTTGTGTGTGTGAGTTTGATCATTAGTTGAAAATATCACATGCCTGCACAGAAACCAAACAGCTGTGACAATTGTGACTGAGTATGAAAAGGTGCTAACCACAAAAACCAGCCACGTCACGTCAAACCATGACCACACTGCTCACCTTAAAGGTTGACGCTCAGCTGGAACAACGTTCTACTCGGAAGTGGTCTGTATTATTTTCACAGTATTTTCACCATCAGGGTAAAAAGATCTGGATCTGTTACTGAATTAGAGAGGGTATACACTGTGCAGTACACAGGTTTTGCTGAGTGTGCACCCTTTAGTTTAATGTTATTACCTAACAGCGGAGCATACAGATGGACCACATGCTGAATTTACTCCCCTGTTAACATATGCTCGCTGTCTCTGCTGTGTTGTCTTTCACAGTATGGGGTTGTGTTGTTCAAGGTTGTTGAGCCATAAGGTGTTATGTAAACAGATGTTTTCCAATATTTTAGAACTGTAATGGTAACTGAGGATGACATTCCTCAATACAAAAATAATCAGGTCTAAAAAAAAGAATACCAAGGGAACAATAGGGGGATTATTTTCTATCTTACATTTATTGTTAACCAACCTGATATTTTATTAAATTAAATCATTTTTAGAGAATTTAGTTGACTCTCCACATGTATCATTGATTTTTAATCTTAAACAAATGTAATTTGGAAATCTCTGAAATAAGACATTGTAGAGATTATGACAATGCCCCTACTCGTGCAGAAATAGTAGTTATTTTAAGGAATGGTTAGTAATGTAATTAACTCAGGGTCATGTGCAGTATTCCTCACTGTTCAGGAGCTTTACATTGGTGTGATTTGGGATGGCATGGATTGAAAAGATTCCCACACTGTGAAGATAAAATTGACAACCTTGCACTTAAAGCCCCCAGCAAAGGAGCTGTGGTGGGAACATGGTAAAAATGTCCAGATGGAAGATGGGAGGGATGAGTAAGGCGTTCACAGATCCCTTCTGTTTGGCCCCATTGAGGTAGAGGGAGACGAGATTGGATGGGTCTGAGGGAGTCGGGTTACTATCAGCCCATTCTACTCCAAAGAAGTGGTGGTGGTGTAAAAGATGCAATACCCCTAAGGAAACCTAATCCAGACCCTGCTGCCAGCTGTCATTCTTTAGCTCCAGGGTAAAATCGCTAAGCAGGTATCGCCTTACCCTCTCTTCAATCCTTACCCTAATCATAACAGGACATGGGAATCGGAATCAAGAAACCCAAATGTCTTAAAACTACTGATTGTAGTGGTAAGGTGAAGTGTGATGTTTGGCATTTGGCCCAGTCCTTGAGCAGAAATGTAAACACTGCCATCTTCATCTTAAACACCCACTGAAATAGAGTTCAAGATCACAGTCTTTGTTGTATTTACTGCTCACAAAAAAGAAATTTACTACAACAAGATAAATTGGACAAAAATCACGTTTTGTTCCTCTTATTTCAAATAAAGTTAAATTCAGGGTCTGATTCAAAAGAAGTCAGGTTCAATCTTCAAACCCATTGTTAAAAAAATTCCAATCATTCCAAAATTTTGTTTCCATCAGAAAACATTGTAATGTAATTCTATCATAAATTATCTCATCTTATTTTTTGTCTTTGATCAACTGAAATCCAACCTGTCAGGTAGCAGAGAGCACACACACACAGTAGCAGGGAGGTGGGTGAGGTTAAAGGACAGAAAGCGTTGTGATTCAGAGATATGAAGAGGCACAGTCAAAGCAGTCAGAGCCGACCTTGCAGTGATAATCTAATCCCTGTCCAGAGTGCTTTTTTTAGAGAGCAAACTAATGCCAGCAGATTATGCACACCAGTGTGGCCAACACCAGCCAATCCACACAGAAAAGAGTGGCTCTATGCTAAATACTCAGCAAATACTTTTATCTCAATAAATGCAGGCACAGTTGCCCTAGATATTGACAAGTGCAGTATAGGATTACATATTTAATTAGTGGCCTTCAGATAATTTCTGCTTTCATACTTGTGTTTGGTTTTTTTTTAACACTTTACATTTACGTCCATGTTACCTCTTCCTAAAGTTTTTCAACAGGTTCACTTGTGTTCTGCATTAAAAAAGACAACTCCAAGACAGCTCATCTCATGTTAGGAAGAGTAATCCCTGTACGTGTTGTGTAACTGAGCGGTGAGTTGAACAAGGGGGGTTGGGCTGTAATGAGCACAAGTTTGTCTGTGCTTGTGACTGACTGTTGATGTCATGGCTGTTCTAATCTGTGAGGTGCAGTACATTAGTCTGTTTGACCACAGCAGTGTGGAGCTTCACTGCTTTGATGTTAACGTTACATTTATTTTGGATGTTGCTCAGCCAGTGATCAACATGTTGTTTAGGCTTGTGTTGTTGCATCAACCCAGCAGGATGCTAACACCAGGAGAGTTTATCTTAGTCCTGTCAATATGACGGGATAGTCTGTAATATGACTGTAGTATGACAAACAATGTACTACTGTCACTATTTAAAAAGTGATTGTGAATTTTATCTGTTAAAATGACAAAAACGTCCTGGTTGGTGTTGAAGGCCACAGACCTGTGACATAGATTATAACACACACCACAACAACAGCTGCTCAACAACTACTAATAATGGATCTATCTGATACAAAGTCCACACAAACTTCACTGCTGACAACAGACACTTGAGTCAGAGACTGTGAAGATTAAAAAAACACCTGACTGTTCAATGGGTGCTCACTGGTATCTGTTATGTGTGTGCGATTATCTGATTGGTTGATTACATTTAGAAATTAGGATATGTCTAAAATGTAAGGACATAGGACATCCTGTATGTTTTAATCCTGATCTAAAACATCTCTCAATGTTTATCTTGCACTTACAGCAAAATAAACTCTTGGTAATCTCTGTTGTTTTTTTTGTTTTATGCCTCATTTACGCCTTCAGTCAGTGAACACTCACAGGATTATTGTAGGTAAAACAGTAGATTTGAGGCTCAGGCAGAGACTGTGTCTTTGTATGAACACTAGCATAAGGACAGTCACATGCCATCTCCAGTCAGGGGTCTGTTGGCACCGGGTCATGACTGAGAATATTTGGATGACTTCAGCAAATGTGCACACACAGAGACACAAGCAGAGGATGAACACATACTTGTGGAATCACAATCGCAGATTTGTGTAGATCTGTTGTTATTTGGAAAGTTCTGTCTCGCTTAATGCTTCATGAGATTTATGGGACGCATGGAAAAATCTACTTCATGTCAAGTCGTTCCACCCTCAGGTTTGGTGCAGTGACCGGGCACAAGCACGACACGCACACGCGCATTAGGCATCAACACACCAACAGTGGATGTTTTCATTCAGCCACACACAGCACACAGGCTCTCAGCATCAGTGCCCTGACCATAGGGAGTTTGTGCTGAGCTGGTTGGGACGTCAGGATGAATCAATGTGAGGACAGCTGACTGGACATGCCTATTCATCTGCCAAAGAAAAGAAAGAGAGGGAGAGGGGGGAAAACAGCCAGGGATTCTGAAAGAAAAGTGCTAAACCCCTGGAGCATGTATGGCTCTGCATTACTTTACTGGGCTTTCAGTGTTTATGGTGTCAGACCAGAAGAAGCAGAAAAGGTAGAAAAATGAAACCAGACATGGGAAAAGCAGCAGAAACTGTATCTGTAGACTAAACACATACACGTACACTAAGTAAGTAACAGATGAATGTACATGTCAGTTATTGTATGGTGGAGCCATAGTAGGAGATTGCAGATGCAGATCTTTAGCCTCCAGCCTAATCATATAGGCCGCTTCGACAAAGGCCTGAGCTCATACTGTAGAGGCGTCTAACTCCACAACGACGGCCCGTTTATTCCCATCTGTTGCCCTCGGCTCTCTTGACTTCATCCCCATTGTGTTAACTCATTACATTCGCCTTAACCTTAACCCCTTAATTGCCACACTCCAGTTTCTCCCGCACATCTTCCCCCCTCCCCTGTCAAAGACAGTGTGCCACATTGGCCGTGCTCTAATCTGATGGCGTCTGCCTACCAAACACCTGCCACAGCCAGGGGAAAAACCTGCTTAACTCCTCCCTTATATTCCACATACAGCACCCGTTGCAGCGTGAGCAGATCAGGACACATGTCTGCGTGCAGGCAGGCATGTGGACAGATGCAGCTGTGGAGGCAGATACAGATAATTAGACGCTCTCATCCCCCTGAATATCATATCAGAGTCCACTTGTTTTTCTACTGTTTTTTCTGCACATTCACATACAGACAAGACAAACAAGAGCTCATCTTTTGTCCTGCTCCTTTGCACAGCACTTGTGCTAGAAGACAGTGACATGTCAGCCCAGGCCTCTTTGCTTTAACAATAACTCTTTCGACCCCCCACAAGGGGGTAGAGGGCCAGACATGAGGGGATGTGACAGTTCTAGTGCGGCCAACACAATAGCAGGTTTTTCCTCGGACCGCCTGCATGTATAGTTATAAAGCACACAGCGTTTTTTGTTTGTTTTGTTTTCTGTTTTTTTTTAACAAGTAAACACATTTGAGTCTGACGAGTTTCTCTTTTTTATCCTGGAGAAGAAATAATATATATTTGGTCTGCATTAGTTTTGTTTGTTTTGTTCTTCTCCTGTAAGGTGTGCCAAAATCATCTTCCTGTCTGTTGTTAATGAATTATATATTAAGTATAAACATTTTAAGTATTATATAAGATTTCAAGTAAGTTGTCAACACAGGACATCCTTACGTAGGAGAAAATCTATTAACAAATGTCCACAGTTTCAGGTCTGAATCAGTGCAGAGTTTGTTAATAATGTGTTATTGATCTGGATGCAGAGCAGAGTGGCCCCTGAGGGTCCATCCTGGTTGGTCAGGGATGAACACATCTCTTCATGCTTCAGCTCATGTATCAATTTAGCCTCCACATACAGACATGTGGAGATACTGACCTGGTGAGCTGTCTGTAAATGAAATATAAGTTCTTGATCTCCTGGTGAGCTGTCTGTAAATGAAATATGAAGTTTACAATGGTGTATTGTAGAACTGAGAAGTCAGTTCTAAGATCAAGATATAGAATAAGAGTAAAATACAAATATGGACAAACAGCGTCCCTGTCCATTTCTATGACCTGTTTGAGACAAACTGATGACAACATGTAAAATGTGTACTATTTGAAAACTCTGTTCCACATGACTTGTGGTGGAACACTGTTGAAAGGGAGAAGTGAGGAGACAAAAAATTAAATTAGGCCCACTAACTGAAAAGGTCTCAATGAGAAGTGAAACATCTTTAATAAACTACCAACTAACACACTTATATGGGATTTTATCTGTTAAAGCATTTTGATGCAGATATTTTATCTGATCTGCATCACAAACTGGAATTATTTAAATATAAACCCAGACTTGTCAGAAAGATGACCCAAACTTCAGAGACTGATGACACATCAGAGTCAGTTTAACAAATGTCTCTGATATCTGCAGGATGTTCTGCACAGCTTTAACACTCGCCTTTAAATGGTCTTGTCCTTTAATCTTTTTATCCTGTGGTTGGGTAAGAGGGGGGGACAGGCGCAGGCATCTGCCTTTGATCTCTTTATATTTTCCATACCACAGGTTACTCCACACATGAAGAAAAGGCCACCAGTAGCCCCAACCACCAACTCTGACCTGTTTGGTTTCTTTCGTAAATGTGCACAGACAAGAAGAACTAATTATTTTTCTGTTCTTATTTCAGGGAGTCTTTCCCACCTCATACATGACCAAAAAGGACATTCAAATGGATTTCATTGATTTCAATGATATTCCTCAGATGTAACAAACTGGGAAAAAAAGATTGCAAGATTTGAGGATTTATAACAAAGGCACAGCAGTACAGACATGGAGACGGAAGAGAAGAAGGATGCACCTCAAAAACGAACCACTAACGTCAAAGAAGAGGTCGAGGAGGATGTAACTGGTCACACCTGTGAAGTGTGTGGACGCAGCTTTCCTCTGCTCAGCTCTCTGTCCCAGCACATGAGGAGACACACAAGGGAGAAGCCATATAAATGTCCATACTGCGAACACAGGACTGCTCAGAAGGGCACCCTGAAAGCCCACATACGCAGCCACAAGCTGGGCCTGTTGACCCCTAATACCACCATCAAGGAGGAGCAAATGAATGACTCAAAGACACCAGAACCAGCAGAGAAGTCTCACACCGTCAATGGCAAGGTGAAGAAAAAAGAAACCAAGGAAAAAGTAAAGGTTAAGAAGTCTTTTTCCTGCACCCTGTGTAGCCAGGTCTTCCCACAGGCGGTTCTTCTTAAATCCCACATGAAGAAACACAGGAACTCTCAGGACCACGGCTGCCGGATATGTGGACGCCGCTTCCGGCAGGCATGGTTCCTTCAAAGTCACATGCGTATTCATCGAAACAAAACTGAATTGTCAGAACAGAACACTGAGTTGCCTACCACAATCAATGGAGTTCCCCAGAACCCAGCATCCCTGATAAATGACGAGTGCCTCTATGAACTCTGTGCTGGCTGTGGAAACTTCTTCTTTGACCGTAAAACCTTAAAAACTCACGAGACGCTTCACAAACTGAGCAACAGCCGCACTTTAAGACAAAATGCACCACAAAGCAACCACCAGGCCTCTGAGCCAGAGACAAGTCAGGCACATTTTATGGAAAGTCTCAACCTAAAGTGTGTTGGAGTGAAGGATACCTCAGAGGTGAAGAGTCCAAGCTCCAGAATCCCAGAGCTGGATCCCATTTGTAGTTACCAGGCATGGCAGTTGGCCACAAGGGGCAGGTTAGCAGAGGCCACAGAGAAGTGCCTGGGATGGGAGGAAAGGTTAGCTGATGCTGAGGTGGCCTACAACAAAAACAAAGGTGAGTATGTCACCACGAAGCAAGGGAAGAAAAGAAAGCAGACAGACACGTCCAGTGCTAATGTCAAGAAGAGGAAAAAGGTGGAGACAGTCCTCGATCAGACGTCCAACAGTTTGTCCAGCACCAACAGCAGTGAGAAGAAGACTCTCCACAAGGATCGTATTCTCTTTAATGGACTTGGTCATGCATTTTATGAAGCTCTGCATAACAAAGCTAAACAGGCAAACACCTTCAGGAGCCAAGACCAGGAGGGTAAGAATGACCTACTGTTTTATTTCATCTTTTAATGAGAGAGTGTCATAGATCTTTGAGTAAAGAATACTCCATTGTCTTCAAAAGGGCAAAGACTGTCATGCAGCTGTCCACAACATGTCCTTTATCTCTGTTCAGGCCCAGTACCACCAGTAAACACTTAAATACTTTTTTTGTGTCAGATTGAGATGGTGTGTATTCTAGAACAGATATATTTTCTATTCCAGTTTCTAAGGTTAGGGACTTAATAAATCATGTGAGCAGAGTGAATGTTAATTTAATGATTCCCACAGAGAATCAGAGTCAGTGTGCATCATTTTAAACACTAAACCACAGTTTGTTTTGTCAGTGTAAATCATCAAATGTTTAAATACTCATGGGAAAACTGGATCAATTTTCTTTTCTCATTTACATTAATTTTTAGATAAAAAAAATTACATAAACTAAATACATAAAAACTAACTAATTAAAAATTAACTAACTAACTAACTAATTACATAAATAAAAATAAACATTTACATAAAGGTAGGACAAACAAAAATCCTTAGGTTGAAAACATCTAAAAATATGAATAAAGTCTTGGTGCTGGTGCTGTTGGCGCTACATTAAAAGAACAGAATGTTCAGTTCCATCAAAGGTAGAGATGTTCTTGTTCTTTTGAACAATCCACCAGGTTATTAAGTCCATCAGCTGGGCCACCATGGACTAATGACCTCCATACATGATTAGAAACATTATAGATTGTGGGTAAGAGAGCCCTCTAGTGGATTTAAAAGTGTTTTACCACTGCTGAAAAACAAATGCATAGTTTTTGTTTGGTTTTATGTTTTATAGTTCATTGATTTTACTAAAACAATATAGAGAAACAAATAAAGTAGAGGGTGTCAACATTTTTGTTTTGTTTATAATAATATTAACAGAAAGGCAGGGATTTGTAAAGTCAATGATCATTAATGTCAAAGATATCTTTCATTTGGAAATTATTATTTACAGTCTAACATAATAGTAGTATTTGCATGATCACTTATGACTTGATATCACCATTTAAATATAAAAAAATCCAGCACTTGGCCCCAGACCAGTGGTGATCTCTGTAACATAAAAGTAAAAAATACACCTTCTATGTTTTTAACTTCTTTCATTCTTCTT